ACGTCAATTTTTTCTAACCTAACTGGTCGGAGCAGCTTTTTGAATATTTATTACGTGGGCCCTCAGTAATTTAGGTTTACTTCTCGTTATCTCATAGTTTTTATCTCAACTCTGTTCGTTTCTTCCCGTAACGATTAATGTAGATTCCATCATGTTCTATTAGAAAAAAGGGATAAGTGCGAGTGGAACTCACTCTTTGTCGGTTAAATAAATTACAAAATTTACAAGTTACAAATGAAATTTGTTGTAAAAATTAGTAATTTTTAATGATCTTAAAAAAAGGTTCAGTATTGTAAATTGACTAGATTGTCATTGTATATTTTTATATTTCTGGTACAACAAAGAGTTAAATAAACAGAGAACGTACCTAATAGATTTGTGGGTTAGTAGATATATTTCCACACTTCAGTCAGTAGGCACGCAAATACTTTAAAAGATTTACCTATTATATTATGATGATCAATATTTTGAGTTTTTATTTTTCTATTTATAATGTATATTATATGGGTGAAGACCAAGAGGAGGCCTTTATTCAGTAGCGGTTTTTTTATGTACGTCATATAAAAAAATATACGGGTGAATTGAGAACTATTTCCTTAAAAACAATGCTTATTATTTATTCCGTATCAATAAAAATTAAAAATATATTTGTCATAATCCTGTTTCACGTAATACGTAACCCAACTCAGGTAAATCATCCGAACAATGAGGTCCTTGTTTTTTTTCTCTCTCAATCTGTCATTCCCTTAGCTATTCCTTGATAAAGCTGTGAATAGGTGACATTTACTATTTGAAAAAAACCATCATTTAAGATTCAATAAAAGCGTAAGATTTTGTAACGCTGCTTTGTTGATTTTTTTGTAGCTCTTTCTTGCACGCATTTGCTCTTTTCTAGTAGCTTTGAAATTGCTTTGTGTCTTAAATCCCGTAAAATTATTGAATTATTGAAAATTATTGAATCTAGAGACTTGTGTATTGCTCAATACACAAGTCTCTAGATTAGCGAATACACGTAACATATAGTAATTGCACCTAAAACATAGAATGTCAATCCGCGATTTTATCCGCATTATCAGAATACATTGAGAAATAAAGATTTTGGAATCGGCTCGAATTTGCGAGTTCTGGGTTGTGTACTCAGAGTCCTCAGAGTGTCCTTATACTATTGTAGTTTGTAGATTACTTGATTAATGTGATACATATGTGACACTTATTGTGATACACGCATTTTATTGTTTTAAAGTGGCAAAACTAAAAATGAATACGGTTTGAGTGTGTAAGGTGTGTTCTACGGTTATGTAAGTGGAGTTATGTGGGTTAACTAGACCAATGTACATAGTAACAGTTTTATTAATATTCGTTGCATTGGTCAACCTCCGTGTGCGTATTTAGTTTATTAAATGGATGTTAATGAAATGGTAACCCCATCTAAGATATTGGTACACACCGACAGGGTACCAGTGATAAATGATAGATAAGAAAAGCAGGACAATTAGCCTTAGTGATTAAATTATTTAATCATCAGGATTTAATCAAGATGGTTTCCAGGGGAACTGCGTGGAGGTCGACTTGATAGGGCATATATACGGGTAGGGTTTAGGGTATTGTTAGTGCCACTGGCTTTTAGATCCTATTATTAATGATCCCTTTACTCCCGTGCATGTAGTGCTGTAATTTGGTTGTGTTTACCAGAGGGAGACTTTAGGTAGGGGCTGTAGGGAGAGTTTGTACAAAAGTCGTTTGCTTGGGCACCTCTGTCTCATTCGTGTTTCAACCGCGAAGCAGTTGTGTTTGCATGGCTGTGTTTCGGTTTGAAGTGTGGGATATGTATATGGCAGTGAATTTACAGGGTACAGAGGAATAACACCTAAGTCCTCGGGAATTGTAACGCATGGGGAGTATCCTGGGCGAAACAGTGTACTCTGTTATGTCTATGGTACTGCTCATGTCTATAGGGGACGGTTACCACTTTCCATCAGGTCGGCCATCAGCTTGTTTGCTATTGTACGTAACATAAAAAAAATTGAGCCTGTTTGCTGGTGAAGTCTCTTACTGTAGGTTGGAGATCATTATAATGATCTTATTTTTGTCTATTGAAAGAACTTGGCACTTATTCTTAACCCCAGCTTTTTCTTGAATGGATGAGAATGCAATGGTAACTCCTCCTGCGCTATCGGTATACGCTGGCGGAGCACCAGTGAGTAGTTATGAGGTGAGGTGAGGTGAGGGTGAAACTAGATCAGTTAGCCTATTATGACGGATCCAACAAAAATTAATCACGATGCTTTTTAGGCGGGACCGTGTGAAGGTCGACCTGATAGGGTATATTACTAGAAATGGGTGTGGTAGTCTCCATTACAAACAATCTCTCTACCCTCAAGTTTAATTATGAGATGCAGCATGTCATTTATTAGCATTTAACTCCGACAGTGTCATTTTGAGATAAGTGGCAAAAGAGAACTAATTTATAAAATAGTAATTTTAGTTCATAAATTGCTTACAGAGATATTGAAAATAATATGTAATATAGATAGTAACTATAATTTTAGGCAGTAACCTAATACCATAATGCATATTATAGGTAGTAACTATATATGTAAATAAAAATCAAATGCCTAATCATTAGATTGTAGCAATTGTTTTTTATTTACATACAGAAGTTTTTTTGGATAAAAATGGCATGGTAATCCCGCCTACGCTATCGGTATTCACTGACGGGGTACCAATGAGAGGTAATAGATGAGGATGAAGAGGCAGGTTAGTTAGCTCATTGTGACGAATTAAATAATAAATTAGTCACGATAATTTTCAGGGGGAACCGCGTGGAGGTCGACCTGATAGGGTATATTGATAGCAATGGGGACTAACTTCTCATTACTAACATTCCCTTCTCCCCTACATACAGTAGTTTCTAATAAATGTAAGCACATTATTTTAGAACGGCTGTACCTATTTGGCTAATATTTTTTTTATTGGGTTTGTAATTCTGAGTGTAGTTTATATGAAAGGTAATTTAAGATATTGTTCTAAAAAACACCAATTTCAATTGCCGCAAAAACAGTTATCTTGATTTAGAAACTATATAAGTAGTAGATTTTGATAAAACTTCTGTAGTACTAAAAAAGAAACAATTTTTACAGATAGAAAACATTTTTCCAAATCCGTTTATAAATAGAGAATCGAGAAGGTTCTACTTTTTTGAAGTTATTTGAAAATGTTTAAAAAATTATAATCATTACGAGACAAAAAAATATATATTTACTCATGATATATGAAAAAGCGCCATCTAGTTTCGTTTTTTTACACTTTTTATGAAGCAATGGAAGTTAAAACAGCAAACCTCACTCAAAAGCACGGTACTTTGCAAAGATTTTATTTAATTGAATAAGAAATAGTTTTCTTCGATATTTTGTAGATATTTCGTATTTTTTTATAATTCAGAATTTTGTAAATATGCAAAAGAATTAGTTTCATTTTTGACATTTGATAATATTAAATTGACATAACTTTAATTCTGTATGGATTAGTTCCTTTGCCTGTCCCATCGTGACTACTACTACTGATCAGGCTGCGACAGTTGTTACATCGCTGTTGGAATACCGTTTTTTTTATAAAACTATGTTACCAAAATATATTCTATCATAGCGGATCATAACCATTAGCAATAGGCGCCGTGACAGTAAGAGTTTTGGTGCCATTTCAGAAACAGCGCTTCACTTATAAATATATTTTTTTATATTAAAATAACAAACATATTTTTGGAAATTACGTACTAATAAATAAAAATATAAATGAAATTGTGTTCAGTGTGATATAAAACAAAGAATAAACGACAATTATCAATATATTTAAACGGGTGCGTAAACAATAAGCTAATTAATTATTTTATTCGTTTTATAGTAATTGAGATGATTTCTATGCTATATTACAAACTATGATTAACATGTAAAATTAAATAAATTCTTTAGTGTTATTTCTACCATGGATCCTAATATTTGTCGAACAGCAGGTCTACTTTCGAATCTAATAACGATATCTATCCAATCATTTGGCAAAGATAATTTCGTATTGCACTTATGGAATAACAATTGGGGATTAGATTAGAATTGGAATCAATTTGCAATAGTTTATATTGGTAATGTGCATTTATTAAAATAATAAGAAACCATTATGTTGCTACTGTTGGGATTTGAGGGTGCGAAATGTCTTAGTTTCAATGTCAGTCTTTTAAAATTTATTTCAAGAATAACTTCAACAAACTGAAATTCAGTTATAAGTTATGATATAAATAAGCATACATACGAAAATAAATAGTACTTAAAATTATGTATCGACAATTAAATAATTATATATTTAGTATGCGGATTCCCGTTAAAATATCACTATTAAATAAAAATAATTATAGTCGTATTGTTCTTATGTATAATTGTATAACTAATTTTATATATACTCCACATAAACTGCGTTCGGAAGACATATGATTTGCACAGCTCTGCATTATAGTACATATGTATATATTCTTTAAAAATTTGTACGTGTTTTTTTTCGAATGCTGTTTGACTTGACACAATACTTCTAACTATTATTTAATACGCCAAAGATTATTTGTAATACTTAACTGTCAAAAAGATTACATTTAAAATTGTAATAGAGTAAAATAAATCAATTAAACATAGATAATTGTTTTATTACCTATGTTTTTTGTAAAATTTTATATTATGAAATAGCCAGTTTTTTGTGGCCACTGTTGATATCCATATATTGAATAGAGGTATGTATAGATAGTAGTATAATATTATAGATATTATTTTACATTTCTTTTTTATAATTTTCATCTTGTTGTTACTTCGAAAAATGTATGTTACATTGCAATTTCCAGATTTCTATGATATAAGGTCGGTGTCAATTCTAATAACGTAGTGATTACTTGCTCTGTGCTACTGTTGTATTTTGATAGTGATACCAATGTTCCCTGTGTTGAAGTATCTATCTACCTTTATCAACAGTGTTCTGTACATTAATGACGTTATGATCGTGTTTGACAGGACAAATTTTAATTTTAGTTTTATTTATCTCGATTTGATTCAGGTCTTCTAGACAGTGGATTACAAAGTTACTGCATAAGTTCTATTTTAAATAAACTCCAAAAGAGAGATAGAGTGCATTAAACAGAAGATCCATAGTAGTAAAGTGAAACATCTGCTTTTGTTGTGACGAATGCTTTTGACATTTGGTAGGTAAGTCTTATTGCATAGCCATAGTCGTGTTATACACTTTTACTCGTTGACCCATCATTAATTTGATAATAAGTTCATCTGTACTCTAGTTTATAGTGTTCGTTTTAATGTTTTGCTATATAGATAGGCATATATTTCATACAACTTAACGTTTTTTCAACTCTTTTAAATCATTATTTTATATTAAAAATTGAATTTAATACCAAAAGGAATGCAGATCGATCATAAATCTATGTGTTTACGTATAGATGTATCATTAATAAGTAAATAGTACTTTCAAAAACTAGAGTTATGTCCTTTGGATTTGGCATTTAGTAGAGGTTACAATGTTGAAGTTATACAGTTATAATAACAAACTTTCTCTTTCAGACACACAATTGATACGATTGTATAGTCTATGTGCGAGTGTGTCACATATTGTTTGAGTTATGAGTGCAGGTGGTCCACAGATTATGAACAATTTGCCACCTGGAGTTAACCCTGAGAATAACTTATTGCCTGGAGGGCCAGTCATCAATCCAACAATGAATAGAAATAGAAATAATAATCAGAATCCGCTCCTGAATGTCCGGGAGAGGCTATTTCATGCCTTATTTTTCAAATTTGCCGTAGCTTATGCTCGTACCTTTCCACGGCCAGTGAGGAGGTTTTTTGAGTTCCTTGTTCTTTTAAAAGCACTTGTAGCTTTCTTTGTGCTTGCATATATACATATTGCATTCTCAAGAACACCAACAACATGTCTAAATCATGTAAAAGATTCTTGGCCCAGAGATGGTATATTAAGAGTAGAGATACTAAGAAATCCATCTCAAGATTACACTATAGAACAAAGTTATGCCAAAGAGCGTAGATTAAAAAAGGACAAAGTGGAACTTAATTCAATGTTAGGAATGTTAGCTACTGAAGGGTGAGTGAGAATTTTGACTACCTAGTTTAAATATTTATTATTGTAGATAATTTGTTTCTGTGCTACTGAGAATTAAGATAAAAATGATCTTATGTCTTAACCAAGGATATGGTACATCTGTGTCACAATGATTAGCAAGTATTTAAAATAATTATTTTATAATTGAAGTATTTTTCATAACCTCTCATTCATATTCTCAGGGTAATGAGAGCATTACATATGATTATTTATAGTTAATTAATTTTACAGTATTATTATATTAAGTTGTTAATTGCAATATATGATGTCATGTGAAGCTATAAGATATTTTTGAATACACATAATCCATTTTGTTACTTTTGTCTATTTTTTCCTATACAATATATAAAGTTTTGGCATATTTTATTGCTGTATTATAATTTATAATTAAGTTACATAAATTTAAATACAATCTTTTTTAAATAAACCTCTTGAATTGCAGATTTATTAATATTGAATCCTCCACAAGCGATAATGCAGATGATGATGAATATCTACGAGATGGCACAGATTATGGGAATATCACACGGATCCATGATGATAATCAGGCTGAATCTGACAGCAGTCATGTAATGGAAACAACTTACATAAAATCCGGTCCTGAATTAGTCCCAAATGATGAGGAAACTGATCTCAATGCTACAATAACATCTGGTGAAGATGTAGAACCATCTTCTTCTATATGGGAAGGGATTCTGGGTCTTGTTGATGATTTAGATAGGGATTCTAATTTGGTTGACGTAAGTATTCTTTTTTTACATTAATTATAACAATTTCAGCTAAAAAATAAATTGACTTTAAATCATGAAATAATTACCATATGAATAATTAGAATTTTTTTCCAATTAGTAAGAATATAAAAGCAATATAAAACTTGTTAACATCACAGACATGATGGAAACACAATAGTAGTATAATTTGAATATGCATTATTATTATTGGATTAACTTATTAACAATAATGTTGAGTATTTATAAATAAAATAAATGTATATGGCCAAGGCTATTTATGATTACTACAGTTATCCAGAATTATTCTTCACAGTTGTAATTTCCAATTTAGAAATTGTATTACGTAATCCATTATCATCATAGCTCATATTTTTTTTATATCCTATTGTCTAAATTATGTATCTAAAACCCCTTGCATAGTAAAAAAAATATTAACATTTAATTATGTATTGTTTGATTTGAATTTTAAATTAATTACCGGGATTTTCGATTATGTGGAATACTCCCTGGTTTTATTTGATTCAGACAATTGAGATTTTACTATATACATATATAATAAAATAGTATCTGAAGTATATTTGAATTTAATGTATAATTTTGCATAAAGTAAATTGGGAAAAACATGTTTCGGTGGAATATCATTGTTATTTTGATTGAGAAATTATAAAGAATGTAAGATTTCTTTATTGTGTTGTTCTAAAACCTATATTCCTTATGAAATTAGGTCATAATAATCTTTTAGATGATAATTTATGTTATGTATATTGACTGAACACAAAATGATACATCTTCAGTTTTATATTATTTTCAAACTATTGTTGAGATTTGTATATGGATTTCATTTGGTATTTTTTTATTTAGGAATTTCATGAAGTCGCTGTTTGTTTTTTTTAATTCTCATTATACATATCATCTTCAGTGTAAATTAAGATTTGTTGAGATGATGAAGATGTTTCATACTATTATTTGTGTGTCAGAGTTATAAGGTAATGAACAGTAACAAAAATACTATCAAATTGGGAACCTCCTTTCTTTTGAAGTTGGCTGAAAAAATTATATCCCCTGTAGTGATTTCCAACCAAAGATTTAAAAAAATATTGTCGCCTTTTTATGCATTGTAAACAAATGTGTTTATTAATTTATTTGGTATGTTTATAGAAGATAGTCTTAACTATCGGAGAATTCATTATACTGGTACCTATTCCAGGAAATTGCAGATAATCAGCCAGATTGAAATATTTTATGGTTCCAAAATTAACAAGCTATTATTCACGTCTTTTTCCGTGCTCTTCTATTCCCTACTTTGTTACTTTTGCATATTTAAAAAAAAAAAAAAAAACAGAGGGATTTATCTCTGCGTGAATGTGTTATTGTATGTCAGTTTCTTCTTTTCCATACCTGTCATAAATTTATGACGTCGTCTATAATATACATTATCATCATTAAAGTTTACGAGTAGGTTCATGCCATCTGATAATAATTTCTATGGTCTTAGCCCACCTGCGTCCATTGATTGCCCACAATCATTATTAAATATTATTGTTTTCTTCACTTTAGGAATCACTTGAGGAAGCAGCGGCTAACGATTCTTCAAAAGGTAGGTAAAATATGTTCACATATATTTGTGGCTGTCATTAATTGTGACGGTCATAAATTTATAGATTTTTATGATAAATTATTTTTTAATAATTCCATCAATTTGAATAGATTCCTCTTTATATGTATATGTTATGCATATATTTTTATAATTTTTTTTCTTTAGTCTCAAAGCTTTTTTTTTTTTAAATTTGATTAAATATTGTCTGAGAGTTCCTACTTAAAAATTATAATGTTAGTCTGTGAGTGATATATACTAAATTGTTACATCGGTTTCTTATTAAAACATTTACTGACAATTTACGAATAGTAGGTAAAAGAGACTCAGTTGTAAACAAACACAGATAAATAGTATATATATATGATTTGTTTTGCAATAAGTTATTTTTTGCTAAGTGAATAAACACAGCAGTTTTGTCCGTCCAACTAACATGGGGTAATCTTTATTTTTTATTTTTTTTTATTGAAAAATATTTGTGAAAACCGATTTAGAATTAGCGACGCAAGTACATATTAAGCATATTAAGTCGCAAAAAAAATGAATAATCTGCTAATGTGAGTCTCTTTTATTTTGAAGTGTAAAATTGTTTATTTTTTCCTATCTATTACTCTACCTCGCAATTCTCAGTACCCTGCCCCCATGACTTTTTTTTGCATGTGTAAGAAACTGTCGATGATAAATTTTATATACCTATAATGTCCTATGTTCTTAAGTTTTTAATAATGTATTTTCAGATGATGATTATATCCTTGAATACTCACTGGAATACGGGTTTTTACGATTATCACCTAATGCTCGTCTCCGCCTTAAGATTCCGGTTAAGATTGTTACGTTGGATCCTCAACAGGATGAGTGCTTCGGTGATCCATTTTCTCGTTTTGTATTAGACGAATTTTTGGGCTACGATGACCTTCTAATGGCATCTATCAAAAGTCTTGCGGAACAAGAAGATAATAAAGGTTATTTGAGGTGAGGAAAAGTCGTTATTGTTATTAATGATTTCATTATAAATAATATATAGGTTAGTCAAAACTCCTAACTGGGTGATATCTACTTTTGATTGCAAACAAGTCGACGTAACAAAGTTTTATAACTTTGTTACGTTAAGTTCAATTATGATTAAATATTTTGATAGTTTAATACCGTTATATTGATTTCATACTGTTATCATTCGTCTAATAACAAATGTTTTTATCGCTGTTAAAACGTTGGTACAGAATTGAGTAATCCTCTTCAGCCACTTTTGATACTTTTATAGTCATGGGACCCCAAAAATAAAAAAAACATAAAATAAACAAAATTAAGTAAAGAGAATTTATTTTAATTAAGTAAATAATTGTAAATTCTCACAGGAACGTCATCACCGGGGAGCATTATCGCTTTGTATCGATGTTGACTGCGCGCAGTTCCTACATAGCAGCGTTCTTTATAATGCTTGTTTTTGTAAGTATATCTTCTTTTTTTACGATATGTGTAATTCTAATTAGCGCAAATAATTTGATAGCAGGTACTATGCCCACTTTTGATTACATTACAGAGTTTTATGTTTATACTGTAAATGAAAATGAGCGGTTACGAGCATAGAGCAAGTAATCATGGTTGCCTTTTTGTATTCTCATCGAAATCATTTTAACCTTTATTCACTACTTAGCAAAGAACTACCGTATAGATTGCTGCTATAAGAAATAATTCTGAGTAACCTGCACCCACTGATTCTGAAAGCTTCCTCCCATTTTTTAATACATAGGATTACAGTTACTGTCCTTAATCTATGCGTCGATTAGTTAATTCACTGCCAATATTAGGTAGCTATATTTAATGTCATTTTTAAAAATTGAAAAGATTCATTCCTTTTTTAATATACGGTTTTAAACATATCACATGTGTTGTTGTTATAGTTAGTTTTATAAAAGTATGAAAGTGGAATTTTCACAATGTAAGATTGGACTATATTGGAGCCAGGTTAATAGTTATTATCGCATTGAAAGAAAGTAAGAAAAATGTTTTTTTTTTCAAGGTAAATAAGTTATAGAAAAGTAATGTCTATCTTTATAATGACTTCATTATTTATACCTTTATTAAGGAATGAACAAGAGTAAAGGTTAATTGATGTATAAGATATCATTTGTGTTATAATTATGATATTTGTATATATTCCGTGATAGTAGGTCCAAAAATAAGTAGTAATAATTATTCTTCAGTGGTTGTATTCTTAACTTAGTCCCCAAGATACAGGTCTGATTTAGTTTGGGGACCTGATAGTAATGCAGACTTTTCAATATAAATTGTAAAAGTAACGCATTTTCATAATTATCAAATACTGTTTGGCATATTTGGAAATGTTCAATCTCATTCAAAACTTTTATCATTGTGCTCAACTGAAGCTTGCTCAGCGGTTGATCAACTGTCAGACTACGTAGTCTGATTATTGACGGATAGTGTTGCAGGTCTCAGTTTTCTTTAGTGTAAGTTGAATTGTGTCTATTAACAAGACTTGATGTAAAATTGGAGGAATGATTTGATTCTAAGAATAAAAATTGAGGTCATTTTGCTCACGTGAATGAAAATGAAGAGTATGCATGTTTTAATCTCGATGTAGATCGTCGGTGTGTCAAATTTCATTAAATCCGGTCATCTGTTTACCCATGATCGAGTAAATATGAAAATTAAGTGTTTGAAAATTTTCACATTTTTAATATTAGTTTGATAGGAAAGCTAAGGAATTTACAAGGCTGATCTATCCAAAGCAACTCTTGTTTTGTCCTAATATCAACTTATGGAATTGTTTATCAGGTTCTGTCTCTAGCTAAATATGACATTGAGACTTTGAAAATAATTCTTATTTCGTTTAAAAATCAACAAACTGAAATTAATAAAATGTATACTAATGTTGTAACATGGTGGACGAAATGTAATATTATTTTCTATCGCAACAGTAATAATATATATCCTCTGGCTACCTTAATAGAAATTCTATTCATGAGCATATTTTTTTTTGACCTCATTACGATAAGATAAATTGTATACTTCTTGATTTCACTTGATAATAGCCATATTTGAGGGAGAACTTCAAATATCAAGAGTTTTGGGAACCAGAACACAAGCATGAGACGGATTATAAAATAGGATAAAATTAGATAGAGGGCGCTGGTACTCTGTTCTAAATGCGTGAAAATAGACAATGCCCGGATAGATAATATTGAATACGTTCTCGTGAGTTAATAAAAAAGTATTTACATACATATAAAATATATATTAAAAAGTAAACAGTCGAACATCATCCTTTTTAAAGTCGATTAAAAAAATCAACAGCGACGTATTAGCGGACATTGACTAGTATTGTATAAATGCCAGTATAATGACAAAATAATGACATAGCATGAATATACAGATAGATAAGTATAAATAATAAGATAAGACAGAAAAGTAATGAATAACAATGATCAATGTTACGTTATCATAATTATGAATTTTGGATAATTTATTGATAAAAATTGTGTATAAAAACAATATAATATAATAGTTTGAAATCTAACGATATTACATAAATGCTATCGTTATGAATATGAACATCTTTTTATATATTGATTGTAGGTAACTATATTAATATTATAAATCTGATGTTTTTTATTTTTGGACGTTTGACTCTCTGCTATCACGCTTAAATGGCTAAACGGCATTTTGAATTTGCATGTAATTTGATACACAGGTAAATATTGTCCCAGATAAACACAAGATTCTTTATTTTTGTACTGAATTTACGAAGGTAAAATCGTGGGATAAAACTAGTATTGTAATAATGCTCTGTACGAAACGTGTGATCTTGTAATCGATTTTATTTTAAACATTCAAAAGTTGACTACTGGTTGACACTACTGGGAATGGTCTCTATATAAAAGGATAAGAGATCATTCTTGCCATGCTGGTTAGCTGATTTGGTTTAGGATTTTATTTCATATTTTCCCTCTCTTCCACTGGTGTGTTGTGCTTTGGTCCCATGGCTTGTATTAATGACATCCGTAGGACGAAAAGGAGTATCTAGTGATATCTTGGGTAAGTTTTAGTCCTCCGACTATGATTTCCATCCCCTTTTATTGTGGTATCCCTGAAAAAAGTGTTTACCGTGCCTGGTGGATTCTTTGTCCGGTGATGACAAAAAAGCCGCTCAAGTGCGAGTCGGACTCGCGCAGTGAGGGTTCTGTACAAAATTATGTTTAATTTTTTTGTCATATCATTACAAATTTACGGTTTTCGGATTTTTTCTTTTACTTGTGCTACATGACATTACTTCTTGTCAAATTTCATGATTCTCAGTCGACGAGAACTACCCTATAGATTTGAACTCCCATTACGAATGTCAAAATATGCGATATAAATGGAACATAAACGGCTTTATCTTTTGATTCGATTTATAAGCTTGATTTTTTCATTGCTTTAAGAGATTTCAGACCTGAGTATATGATATTAATTTAAACTTGATACCTCCACGCATTCTAAGAAAAAGAGACTTAACAGACAGACAGACGGACTGACGGATATCGAAGTGATCCTTTGGGTTCTGTTTTTCCTTTGGAGGTATGGAACTCTAAGAAGAAAATCATCGAGAATCCATAGTGTTCACTCCAAAGTCGTATTTAATGCAATACTTTATAAATTCTATTGCATCTCTCTTACATCTCAGCGCATCTTTTGAACTCCGGTTCACCCCCGCGCCCCATCTCAAGGCCGGTATTTTTTTATACAACTTAGAATGGCAAACAAGCTGACGGCGTACCTGATGGAAAGTGGTAACCGTCGCCTATAGACATGAGCAGTACCATGGACATAACAGAGTATACTGTTTCGCCCATGCTACTCCCCATGCGTTGCCATTCCTGAGGACTCAGGTGTTATTCCTCTGTACCCTGTAAATTCACGCCATATCCCACTCTTCAAACCGAAACCATGCAAACACAACTGCTTCTCGTTAGAAACACAAATGGGACAGAGGTACCCAAGCAATCGACTTTTGTACAAAGTCTCCCTCTGGTATTGATGATATTGAAAGCGTATGTCTTTACGTATTCTGTTTACTATTATTAATTTCTTACTAGAGATATGACTAGCTCATTTGTCTTTGAATATAACCATTTTACTTTTCACGTGTTATTTAATAAAGAAATAGATATTATTAGAGGGAACATGCGTGGTCCAAATGGATAAATTTGCTGATAAGTAGTGAATAATTAAATACCTCAAGGGCAATGGCCTGAAACCACGGGTTATATGTATATTGTTATATTATTTATATAGAGTAGGTACATCTAATATATTTATATATTAGGTTTATTGCCTCCTTTATCTCATGTTTACTTTAATTATTAATCAGTTGGCATTCATTAGGTAAATTTTGCTATGAGATAAGAGATGCTTTCCACAAAATCATTAACGTTTCGTAATATATATCTTTAGTAGTGTTATGAATATGAATCTATTTCTTTTGTTTTATTGAAATTTAGAATGCATGAATATTTTTTCTTTTAAATTTGTGCTTTTTAGGTAACCCTTAATGCAAACTATGAGAATAATTATAATCGGTCGTAGACTTCGACTAACGCCTTCAGAGTAGGCGTCCATTATACCATCAGGAATTACAGTCTTCACAAATGTAAATGTTGATGAAGCATTATTTCATATTTCATATTTATTTTTAATAATGAAATGTAAAAAAAGGTAAAAAGGCAAAATGGTTATATCCTTTCAGATGAAAAAAAAATTTTGAATTTGATCTAAAACTGATGAAGTTATGAGTTGTTAATAAACATAAAAAAATTTAACCAAATTGAAAGTATTCTTTTTGAAGTCGGTTGAAAAGTATTCTTTTTATTATGTAGAATGCATAATATTAAGATTAATATTTTTAACTGATGTTTAAAAAGGAGGAAGCTCTTAATTAGGTTGTATTATTTTTTGTTCGCAGTTCTAGGGTAACAAACCCTAGAACTCCGTTATTCACAAACTGATTTGTAACATTTTTTTTATCTGAACGTATATAATAAGTTTTAAATTGGTCTCATAATTTTTTTTATCAAAATCAGCCCAGTAGTTTACGTTTTAAATCAAAATAAGTAGTTTTGCCACAAAAATCTTAAATTAGAAACTAGTATTTGTGTATATTTCTGAAATCACATCTTTGCATTCATGCCCATATGGTTTAAAGCCCGCAATACACATACGAGTCTTATACTATATCTAACTATGATTATTTATACTATAATGAACTGATAACGTTATGTATCCAAATATGCCCAAATATATAAATTTTTATATGTCTATTTATATGATTGTTCCGGTTTCACAAAAAATTACGAAAGAAAGAAAGAAATATTTTTATTCACTTCATTTTTTTTTCATTCATTAGTAAACTTAGAACGACACCAAATTGCATATTAAAGGTACAGATA